TCTGATATCCCAATATGGCTGGTCGTACATCTCGATCGTTTATTCAAAAGGCAGCTACGGTGAACTCGGCTACAAAAATATAAAAAAGCTAACGGACACCAGAGGAATTTGTATTGGTACCGCCAATAAAATTGCCGAAGGAGCTCTTCCAAACGATTACCTCAAAGTTGGACAAGATCTTCTAAGCCATTCCAATGCTAAGGTAGTGGTTGTATTTGCAGGTCCTACCCAAACAAAGGGACTGTTCACAGCATTGAAGTCCTTGGGGCAAGGTACTAAGTTTATATTCATCGGAAGTGATGGCTGGGCTAAACGAATCAAGAATTTGGGCGAAGTATGGGATGTGGGATTGGGGGCTTTTGGCGTCAGTTTTTATTCCGAGGAAGATCCACTTTATACAGAATATTTCAAGAGTATTAGACCAACCCTTAACGAACAGGATCCGTGGTTTCGGGAGTTCTGGGAGGGTCATTTCTCTTGTACCTTTGACAATTCTTCTGCATCACCTTGTGACGAAAACGACTTGCTCTCAGCTGCTAACGGCTTCAAACCCGTCCCGACCGTTACGCCTGTTATGGATGCAACCACGACCTTTGCGCATGCTCTTCATAACCTATTGGTAGACAACTGCCCAGGAGTTACCGGAAGTAACGCTCGGTCATGTATAACTGGACCATTGCTGCTAGGCTATCTGAAAAATACAACATTTAATGGTAGAAATGGGTTGATAAAGTTTGATGCAAATGGTAATCAATTGGGTCGCTACATGATCGATCAGTTGGTCCGAGGGAATCCGTACACCCAGATCAAAGTAGCAACTTATGATGCTTTGACCAAGAAAATGACGATGTCAAATAACATAACCTGGGAATATGTTGACTGGTACAGTTCCGAATCACCGGAATCCATTTGCAGTAAACCATGCGGGTCCAGAGAGTTCTACATTCAGATGGAGTTGATCTGTTGCTGGGAGTGTAAGGCGTGTAGATCGAATGAGATCGTCAGTAGTGAGGAGACCAGCTGCGTCTCCTGTCCACCCTTCCATTGGCCTGAACCCAACATGAACTACACAACCTGCTCCGCTATATCGCCTGCTACCATGACTTGGGAGCAACCGCTCGCTATTATACTGATGACTCTGTCCTCAATAGGAATCGTAGCAACTCTAGCGATATCTGCCTACTATTTCAAGAACAACGAAGCTAAGTGCATCAAAGCATCGAGTCGAGAACTCAGCTACATGATGTTAATTGGGGTCTTCATCGGCTACGCAATAGTCTTTACACTGATGGCCAAACCTAATCATTTTTTATGCAAAACCAACTTTTTCTTCTTTTGTTTGAGCTTCACGTGGATCTACGCTCCTCTCCTGACCAGAACGAGTCGAATTTACAGAATCTTCGAATCTGGAAAAAAGTCCAACAAAAGACTAGTTTTTATCAATGCTCGATCTCAATTATTTCTGTCATTTCTACTAATATCTGGACAGGTAATTACGTTTCTTTTATTCTAATTAATCTTATGACTTGATTGTAAATGTTCCAATGGCAAAACACCTGATTGATTTCATAGATCATCTGAGGTTTTAACGTGGCTCATTATTCCAAAACATTGGATACCACTCATCATCTGAGGTTTTCACATTGCTAATAAGACACTGTATAGTATGGATGCTGTTTCGTCCGTGTTTGCCGGATCAGTCCCACGCAAGTTGACAAACGTCCGTTTGGAAATATGCCTAATCGGACAACAAGATATACTGATGTATTACTATTAACATTCATTATCTGTATGTTTCTCGATCTTCTGGTAACGGATAGGATCATCAAGTCTCTTTAAGAACGTGTTTTACATCCAGACATGTATTACACAGCGCTCTCCCAACAATATGTTTTATTCGGGCAAAACCCACCGTTTACGTGCAAAGATATCAATACAAAATATTCGGGAGCCAGGGCGGCACAGTGAGTAAGACGTTGGCTCGCTAACCTGGATGTCCCTTGTTCGATCCCGGTGTGACCGAGAAAGTTCATCGGTATTTTTCCGCGTGGTTCCCCTTTGTCAGTGGTGTAGGACGGATGGGACGAACAATTAACCGAGGTCCTGAGTACACATTGGCGTGTACATAAAGGATCCCTTGACAGTTGGAATTCGGAATAAGAGTAGGCCGTAGCGCGGTCGCTGTCCGGGCAGACTTTCCCACATAGCATACTTCATTAGCCCAGTCGGTGCCGAAATGTAGGGCGTCAAACCCCATTTCATTTCATTTCAAGACGATATTCAGGGCATGTTCATGGATAAATAATTCGAACGAAATATTTAGAGCCTCCAAAAACGGTGTCGTTTCCAGAAGTTCGGTTACAAGTGTTATTATATTTGACAATAATCTCAAACGGTCTCTGGACATCTCGTCTCCATGACCCTCTTCATTAGCCCAGACGGAGCAGTACAATACCTAGAACGTTAAACCCCATTTCATTTCATAAATTTCATTATATTATTTTTCAGTTAATAATTTCAACCTGTGTACTGATACTAAGCACGCCCGAAGCCAGACTAACGATGCCGGTGTCAACGCAGAAATACGTGGAGCTGAGTTGCAATCTGACGCTGCCTGGTGTGGCATCCTTCCTGTTCTACAACATCATCTTGGTCATCATCTGTTCCGTCCTCGCCTTTAAAACCAGAAAATTACCGGATAATTTTAACGAATCGCGGTTTATCTCCATCTGTGTCTACACCACGCTCATCATCTGGTTGGCGTTCGTTTCAACGTATTTCACGGCTGGTCGCGAATACCTGAAAACAGTCTCCTTATCCTTCGCTCTCATCCTCAACGGAACAATGGTCCTACTCTTCCTGTTCGCGCCGAAGATTTACGCCACGGTCTATTTAAACGGAGGGGATAGTATGGACACGAAGTTTGGTAGATCAACCAAAAACACGGGTCTTTCAACCTACGGTGACGCGTCCACAACTAATGGTTCGGGTTCCTTCAGTGCAGGGGCGAACTTCAATAAGGTACACCCTCTCAATGTAGGCCTGCCCACACCAGTTCCAAATGCTTAAACAGGCCTGACCTTCCGATCTTCGTCAAAATAAAAACAAGCACAATCGGTCCTAGGACATAATCTTTAAGTGGCATTTAGCGATTTGGGAGCATGTTAAACGGAACACAATATTTATGGGATATCATTCACTGGTTTTATTCTATAAGCATGGGGTTTCGGCAAGTATCCTCTTATCGTTATCGAGCACAATCCTTGGCATCTTCAATATTATAGGTTTGATCTCGCCTTAACTCCGTACATCTAGGAGAATGATACAAGATAACAATTATTACAACGGAGTTATTTGGAACAATCTAGTAATAAGACACTGACTATCCGTATATTTACTGCGGATCAGTGTGCAGTATTATCTATAACCATGTATTTAAGTGTTGTTCCTGCGTATGAATATTAAATTCCTGACCGTCTACATTCTTGTTTTGTTTATATATATTTATATTGTATGTAATAAATATATACTTGTAAGCCTACATGCAAACAAATTTCATCTGGTCAAATAAAATGAAATGGGGTTTAACGTCCCACTGTTCTGCTCCGAAATGAAATGAAATGGGGTTTAAGGTCCTACAGTTCTGCTTCGAACTGGGCTAATGAAGACGGGCATACGCAATACAATGTGCTATGAGAGATATTTTGCCAGGACAGCGCCACTACGGTCTACTCTTATATCGAATTCCAACTGTCACTGACAAGGGGGAACCACGCCGGAAAATCTGGATTAACTTTCTCGGCCAATGCAGGGATCAAACACCCGACCTCCAGGCTAACGAGGCGGCGTCTTACCCACCGTGATCCCCCTGATCTGCTCGGCCTTGGCTAATGAAGATATAAAATACAGTGAGCTATACGGGAATGTCGTCCTGGACAGAATCGCTATGACGACCTACTCTTACGAAAAATTCCGACTGTCAAGAAGGTTGGCTGTAACGTCTTTGTGGGGAGGGGAAGAGTAAGAAGGTTAGATGTAACGTCTTTATGGGGAGGGGAGTCAGAAGGTTAGATGTAACGTCTTTATGGGGAGGGGAGTCAGAAGGTTGGATGTAACGTCTTTATGGGGAGGGGAGTCAGAAGGTTGGATGTAACGTCTTTATGGGGAGGGGAGTCAGAAGGTTAGATGTAACGTCTTTATGGGGAGGGAGTCAGAAGGTTGGATAAAACGTCTTTTTGGGGAGGGAAGTCAGATGGTTGGCTGTAACGTCTTTGTGGGGAGGGGAGTCAAATGGTTGGATGTAACGTCTTTGTGGGGAGGGGGTCAGAAGATTAAATGTAACGTCTTTGTGGGGAGGAAGAGTTAGAAGGTTGGATTTAACATAAAGCGCACACGTTAAACCATGTATGTGACCACCCAATCCACATAGAATAAGACATAAATCAACCCGTGAAAATAAACATTACGGTCGAAAGGAGCCGAGACTTTTGGGATATAAACCTATATTTCCAGCTTCATCAAAATCGGATAAAAATTGTGACCTCTAAGAGTGTCCACAAACAAATTGTGAACGGTCGGGCAGGGGCGACGACATAACGACATACTACATCCACATGAACATGTGGGCGTATAGGAATGCACTGACTGGGATAATGAAGACAGGCATATGCCATGCAGTGTGCTATGAAGGAAATTTTGCCAGGTCCGAGTCTTATCTAAAATTCACGGTACCAAGGGGTCTTTTACGTGCACGCCGATGTGTGTATGGGACGCGATTTCGTCCCATCCGAACGACTAGACACTGTTCTTGCCAGTCCTCTGTCCTGCACCACTGACAACATGTCAATCACGCTAGAAAATCCAGGGGAACTTCCTCAACCAACACCCGTATCGACTCCCGGACATGATGGTTAGCGAGACAGCGCCTTACTCCGAGATGGGCCCACTCCTTTCCTGACCAATGAGATGCAGTAAGATAAAGATGAAAGAACAACATGACGTATTGTTTCAATTATTTACATTTATATATCACATTTACACTTAATATGTTGATGAAGGGATAACAAGCACCTGTAACGTGGAAATCGTTTCAAGACGAGTTATTTGCCCTTGAATCGGATTCAGACCAGTTATTTTGTAATCTTGCTCATTTATTTCCAGTTCAATATTTGAAAGAGATTTTCCATGTTACAGACGCCCGTTGATCGCATCATGAGCGAGGAAAGACTTCCTGAAGAAAATCCACACCCAATTCAATAAATATACATCAATGTTACTCCACTTGATATCAACAGTTGATGAAGTAGGCAAGGGGGGAGATGGGTGAGGGATGGCTTCCCAAAGAAAAACCCCATCAAATCAACACCCAATAAATATACATCTCTTTTACTCCACTCGATTTCAAAAGATATACTCCTGTTACATATATCTAGAGATATATACAAGCCTGAACATAGGGCACCTGTCACAGAGTTTGTCAGGCACCAATTATTACACAATGTATATGTTATATAATATATACCCTGCGTGAAAACTTGACAATGTCTGTGACAGGTGCCCTATGTTTAGGATTCTATGTGTGATCATTTATATATATATATGGAGGTAGGCTCTCTATTTTGTTTATAATCAAGGCCTAGCATTGAATTCCATGATTACTGAAATTGTTAATTGGCAGAAATAAAATCAAATGACAACCCATATGAAGTAAATAATCTTTAGCTATTTCAGAATAACATCCAAATTCACTATATAATAAATCATGATTCGATTCACGGGGATCCATTGTTCTCAAAATCAGCAAATTCTTAAACCCGAAAGCGAAAATGAGTGACCCTGATTGAATATGAACAATATACATACATAATAAAACACATAATCTACAGTAATATATACAACAATATAACAAATATATACAATATAACAATACATCATAATAACCATCTTGTTTACCATAGTAACCATCTTGTTTACCATAATAACCATCGTGTTTACCATCAGAACCATCCTGTTTACCATAGTTACAATCTTACTATTGTAACCAAGGTGTTTACCATAGATAGTAACCATCTGGTTTACCATAGTAATCAAGTTAAATACCATGGCAACAATCTGGTTTACCATAGTAACAAAGTTAAATACCATAGAAACAATCTGGTTTACCATAGTAAGCATATGGAGTACCACAGTAACCATCTTGTTTACAATAGTAACAAACAAAAATGCCATAGTAACTAAATCGTTACCTTAGTCACCAATTTATACAGCTAGTATAACCAACTTGTACACTGTGTTTCAAGTTGAAGAAGCACAACCATGGTCTCACCTTCACATAATGAAACACCTCAGCTGATAACAGTCCAGAGTTTGATAATTTATTTCATATTAATAATATACTCATAATAATTAATATCAGGCAAAAGGCCAGACCAATCAGATTTTCTGTTCTTCCGGTATATAATAGCCACTTGAATCAAGTGAAAGATACTTTGATTCCAATTCCAAAACTTGAAACTAAATGTGCAAAGAAGTACTTTAAGTTTCTAAATTAGTGTAAGACCATTTTAAACAGGTGTTCCCGAAGAATAGAAAATCAAAATGGTGAGGGGTAACTGCAATCCAGAGAGATGGTGAATAGAGGTAACAAGTGTTGTTTTTTTGCCGTTAATTATGGCTACCAGTACATATATGTTTTAGTAGGAGATTCTGTATTTAATGTTCAAATTCCTTGCCAACCATGGTTTGAAACTAAACATTAAATACAAAAACTGCTGACAACTACACAATTTGAATAATTCACCAACAATGTTTTGACACTAAACATTAAATAGAGAAACTCTGAGTTGTGGTGTTAAAACCATTTAGCATCTAGCACATAATGACTAACCGGGTGGAGAAAACCCCTTATTTCATTTATCATGTTAGAGGTAGTAGTACCTGTGAGCTCAGGGACTGGCAAGGAAAGTGTCCTTAGCTTTTCGTATATGACAAAGATATGTTGCCAGGCAACGAAACATACGCCCACAGCAGCTATATCGTCCTGGCAGTCAACAAGAGTTGTCATATATTTTTACTTTTTCGGTAATGAAACATTTATAATACATTAAAATCTGATTAAGAGTAACACCTCATTAAGTAATTATCAGAAAACCATTAGAATTTGTTTGGTTTTTATAAAATTCTGCCCCATGCTAACGTTTAGTATACGAAACATTTAAAACCATGAATTTATCTGTTCAAGTCATAAAAATTCATTGAAAATCAAAATACTTGTTCGTCTCAAGATCTTAAATACTGTGCATCAATCTGAAGTCAACCAGATGATACATGTAACTTTAGCCTCTAGAGCGTCACAAGATTTTTCAAAGTGATCAAGGGCCATAACTTTGGCAGTAATTATCGGAAATCGTTGAAAATCAACAGGATTCTTCGTCTCATGACCTCAAACACTGTGTATAAATCTAAAGTCAATCGGATATTAACTTTAGCCTCTAGAGTATTTACAAGATTTTTTGACGTGTATAAATTTAAAGTCAATCGAATATTAACTTTAGCCTCTAGAGCGCCCACAAGCAATTGCGGACGCCGGACCGACGGGGGTGACGACAATATACGACCACATTTCAATGAGGGGGTATAAAAAAAGTGAGTTAAGTATTGTGGGAGCGTAACAGATGGACGTTAAACCGCATTTAAACATTCTATACATTAGCTTTTCGTATATGACAAAAAAATGAATTATGTATTGTCGGAGTATAACAGATGCATGTTAAACCCCATTTATACATTCTAGTGTTGCAGCACTTTTTTGGTTCTCCCTGTACTTACTAAACTTAGGCTGTCTGTCTACAGTTAGCTAAGCTTGAAATCTGTCACCAAGTTATTTGTCAGATATTTTGAGTCTAAAATCAGCGATTTTAGTCGAAGACATTAAGCATACTTCAAGAAGATTGAGAAGTATCTATTCTGCTTCCATTTAAAAAATTGTAAATGTTTATTTAGTCGTGTGTATGACAGATGTGAAACGGAGTAGAACCACATTACAAAATAGTTTTCTCAAAGTATGCTCCCTAGACAGCCTAAATCCACAAAAGAACTAACAGTCCTTAAATTGTTCAACAACAGGTCTTCCATATCCTGTACCACTGACATGAGGAACCTACGTTAAAAAATCCTTATCAGCATTCTTGTTCAACACAGGGATCGTAACCGGGACCTCCAGGTTAGTGAGCTAATGTCTTACTCCCTCAGCCAATGAGGCTATATTTTCCAGATGCATTATGGGTATGATGGACCATGGACTAGTTTTTGTAATTGTTTGATTTTCCTTAAATGATGGAGATTTTGATTGTCTTGCTTTTCAATATCTCAGAAAAATGCTTTCAAAAGAAGCAGATGATTGTCAGAAAGAGTAAGTTTATTCTCACTCTCTCATTATTTGCAACGACTGATTTATGTGAACACATTTTATAAAATGTTTCAATCGTGGGAGTGATTCACAGTGATGGGATTTAAAAACTTTTCTTGTCGGACATTTTTTCCCAAAAATTAAAGGGACATTTTCAAACCACATTTAAGAATCACGTGTCAACAAAATATTCAAATTCATATGTAATAAAAAATAGGTGAACCTCGTTATATTTCATGTTTAATTCCTGTACGGTATTCAAATTTATGTCAAGAATATTCCTACAAAATTACGTGACATGGTAATACCACAGAATGAAAGTGAGCCAATATTTGGAAAATAGCGTCGGACATGTCCGAAATATACGGGCGAAATCCCATCACTGGTGATTCACCACTAAAAATTTACAAATCTATGTACATATGTATTCAATAATTGATCTTCCCCTTTATATCATGCAATGGACTATTCCCAGGGACTTACATACAGTATGGTTGGTGGAGTCTACATTACTGTAGGGTGAATTAGTAGTTGATAACACAGCCCAAATTCTGGGAAATTTTGTGATTCATGACTTTACTTTGGACGCTTATATTCTGCATGAAATAAGATAAAAACCAGAAATTTGGCATAACAACTGTCTGTATTATCTCATAGCTACTCGTGGTTTGATTAAAAGACGAGCGAAATCAAATGGGATTTAACGTCCTACTTTTCTACACTGACTGGGCATAATAAAGACGAGCATATTCTTATTATTGTTATCAAATATTATGATTTTTTTGTATATAACTATATATAAGTATCAATTTAAGAGTATTTATATGATACAGACAGGTGCTATGCCAAGACAGAGTTATCCTACTTCACACACCTGTCAATTCTATAGGTTAATTATCAACTGAATTATTTCTTTTTTTTTTTGATATATTGTTACCACCGGCTCAACGATGTTCAATTTGAACAAACAGGAAAAAAATTGTTCCACAAATATTGTGTCTCTCCGCTTGTCATCCACTAGTATCATCACAGCTCAACAGATACAGCAGAAAATATGTCAGCCATATTGGAATATATATATATATATAAATATATATATATATAGTTACACACACACACAGAGAATCTTTAGTTGTCATGACAACTAAGCACAAATAAATAAATGACATACTTATTTGTATGTTCAATTGTCCGCCATATATAAAACGCAGCGACAATAACAATTAGTTCTTAAAAGAAAATACACAAAAACATGGTCGCCAGATTAAAATGTGTTGACTATCGGCATTTTAAAATATCACTGTTTACTTATCAACGATTTTAAACTATGTCCAGAGTTTTGTAGTAATGTCTCCTGAGTGTGTCATCCGAGAAACTATTTTCCTCGGTAATGGATATCTTGCTCTAAAAATTTGATTAGCATATTACTACGCCATCTCATATCTTTGTGTCTTCCTGTGAATAAAGATTGGCTAGCGTTTTACGTATACGAAGTGCAGTCAGACGGGCAGCAGCATTCTGATACCAACATTCCTTCATTATCCTCGCCAACACCCGTAATGGCTGAAAAATAAAATTTAAAATAATTACAAATTTTGAATGAAATGGGGTTTAATGTCCTACTGTTCTAAGATTGGGCTAATGAGAACAGACATACGCCATACAGAGTGTTACTATAAGGGACATTTTGCATGGACATTGGCGCTATGGCATAGTATCATATTGAATTGCAACTACCTAGGTTTCCTTTTACTTGCACCCCAATTTGTACATGGAACCTCGGTTGGTTTTTGTCCCATCCAAACGACCATACATACTGTACATTCTTCCTTGCCAGACCCTCTGTTCTGCACAACTGATAAAGGGGGAAACCAAGCTGGAAAATCTCGAACTTGCTCGTCTAACACTGGGATCAAACACCAGCCCCCCCAGGTTAGCGAGCCAGCATTTTACTCACTGAGTCACGCTGGCTCCCCCACACTAATTAGGACAAATGGTGTGCTATGAGTGAAATTTTGCCTGAACGAAATCCAACTGTCATGGATTCTGTTACATGCATGTCATCGAGTACACGATTAGACAATGTTTTTTTTACATCCCATCCAACTGACTAGATACTTTTCCTTGCCAGGGCGAAAGAGGAAAATCCTCGTCCAAAACCCTGATTGATCCCTGAAGTTCCTCGGTAGTGCGCCAACACCTGTCACACCACAACTCCAGTGATCATGAAGCAATGGCTGCGAGTTTTACAACATCTGGACGTTGCTAGATTACTTTACAATTCCCTAACTTTACAATACTCCTTTTACTGCACACACGTAAACAGTAGCGTCCAATCAGAGGTTGTGATACAAACACATGGCGACCTCCACTGAAACCTTGACATTGAACGAACCTTGAACTTTGCAACTCGATTATCACAGGTAGCCATTTTAGCTGGAAAGCGCGAGACCTGGTATTCGCGATGATTAAGGAAATTAGTGATGAAATATCTATGGTATTACGTGAAGGCCTTGAGAAGTTGTACGGAGTTAAAGCGAGATCAAGCCTTCAATTGAAGATGCATGAATCCTAAAAGATTATAATAATTTCTATACCTCTGTCTGCCATCTATTTGGTATCGCTGGTCGATGTCGATCTGTACAGACCACTTTACGCATGTCTTCTAATGCTGGATCAGACGGCACCATATCGTAATATGGTAACTGATATTCCTCTGCTATACCTGAATAAACAAACAAATAAACAAAAACTAAATCATTTCAGGACTTACATGTACATATGGTTTGATTTTATTTCAATAATTCGCTTGAGTATAGGGGTTTTCAGTTGTGGGAGTAAACCGGAAAGAGAGAAATGGGGTTTAACGTTCACTCGACACAAACTAGGTAGGTCATTTTATTTCAATAATTAGCTTGCAGGTAAGGGGTCTTTAGCAGTAGGAGGAAATCGGAGGCCCCAGAGAAATTCCACACCAGTTGACTCAATGACAGACCTTATGATACAACACACACACACACTAACCATTCGGCCATCCAACCCCTTCCGGAAAGAGAGAGAGAACTGGAGTTTAACGTCCACTACTCCACACAACAGGATTGTTAAGAAATGTTGTTTTTTGTAAATCATAGCATACCTCCGACGTTACAGCGTCTTGCTATTTCCCATAGAACTAATCCAAATGAATACACATCGGCTCTCTTGAAAGACTCGAAATGGTTCATATTAATCGTCTCATCCAAGACTTCTGGTGCCATATATCTCTTGGTACCAACACGGTTGTTAGGGGCGATATCTACAGAATCTGTCTTGGAGTCATGTCGAACAGCCAATCCTGTTAAAACAGAAAAATACAAAAAATTAAGAGTAGCTGCTGAGAGAGAGAGAGAGAGAGAGAGAGAGAGAGAGATATGGTACACTTTTAGTTTAATAATTCTCTAGTGAGGTTGGGCAAGCTATCCTACTCCTTTGTCTAGTTGAAGTCTGGGATTGAAACAAGCGTACAAGCGTAATCAAGGTGTACGTAGAACCTTTAGACACGTTTTTTGCCAGGCCGTCCAATTTGATTATAACACAGATCCTATTTCATGTTCTTTTTTATAGTTTAAAATTTCATTTTATTAAGTCTTCACAACACTAGGATCTGGAAGAGTTGTTATATAACATGCATTCTGGATGGCGTGAGGGATTAGCCAATGAAACCATCTGTTACGGCGATTTGCGGCGTGCCATGCACAGAAGTATGGATAAACCACTAGAAACGTCCACACTGAATGATTAATCAATGTCTGACGTCGTAGGGTCAAAACCCCAACGCAATCTCCCAGTCAGATCTTCATGTAGTGCTAGCCATCGAAGTACAACCGGCCGGATCTTTATGTACTGTAGGCCATCGAAAGTATAAACCAGCAGTTGTCAGACAGGATACGCCCACATTTTGCACGAGATGGATAGAGAACAAGCTAAAAACAAAAACGATTTTTTGTACAATCAGGGGCCATAATCCAGAAAGTTATGGTCTAAAATGCATAAATTTCAAAAGGGACTGAAATAGATTTTTGGAATATAAAGATCTGTATTTTAATGAGATTGCAGATCGTCTGTCGTGCACCACTGACAAGAGAGAGAGAGAGAAATGGGGTTTAACGTCCACTCGACACAAACTAGGTCATTTCGGGACTAACATATGGTTTAATTTTATTTCAATAATTCGCTTGCGCGTAGGGGTCTTTAGCAGTGGGAGGAAACCGGAGGACTCGGAGAAAACCCATGAGGTTGGACAGACGACCCTACTCCTTGCCACGTACAACCGGGGATTCGAAACCACACCAGTCGACTCAATGACAGACTGTATGATACAGCGCGCACACTAACCATTCAGGCATCCAACCCCCCCCCCCCCCCCCCCGCACCACTGACAAAGGGAAACTAAGCTGGAAAATCCCCTAACCCCCGCCAATCCCCACCTGCCACTCTGAACTTTCTCAGCCATCACGGGGAACGAACATTTCAAACAAAGATAAATAGTCATACGAACCTAAATCCGCAATACAACACGTTCCATTTACAGTTACTAGAATATTCTTACTCTTTAAATCACGGTGAGCTATAGCCGGTTTACCTACAAATATACAAAATATTAGTACAACTGTAAACCTGCACTACTTTCTTTCACGGTAAACGGTTAAAATATAAAAGGTATGCTGACACAGGTTGATTTCAACACTGGTTTAATATCATTTTAAAGTACTTTTTCGCTCATGTCGGAAGCTGGTCAGAAATAATGTCATTGTTATATATATATATATATATATCGCAAGTTTACCTACAAGATAGCTAGCTGCAAAGCAGTCAACCCTAATCTTTTACTGCAGTAATCTTTAGGATACAACCCAACCTAGCACCATTTTGATCATCCAAAACAAATTATGAATTTGAGTCGAACATCTTACATGCGTTACTTGAACCTGAACACAGGACATTGCAGCGCATGAGCTGAATCGGGCGTAAAAAAGAATTTGAATCCACTAGCCCAGGGCTAGTAGTCTACTGTCAGACACTAGCCCGGCATTAATTATAACTAGTCCATAGTTTGACTGGATTGGAGAAAAAAAACGTGGAGTATTTTACTGCTTTTTTATCTATATCATTAGTTTAATTCACAAACTATTAAAAAAATGAGCAGTGAAAGGGCGCTAGTCCTGGACTTATACAGCTAAATACGTCACTAGCCAGCAAGGTATTTTTGGTAGCCCCGGGCGTCAGGCTAGTGGATTTTTACATCCCTGAGCCGAATACATAAAATATTTCAACCAAAGATGACAGCTGAAACATATTGGTTGTTTTTAATTATGAAACGACTCTACTAGTACGAACACCACCTCTGTTGTGGAGACAGATTTCGATGCCATGTCACTCAGTTCCATTTCTGTCAATTTGGGACTTCCTGACTGTCTGGTACAATTATAATTATATCTGGATTTTTTCTTACCTCTATTGCCACCAACAATCTCCATATGTAAATGAGCGAGACCACTAGATGCTGTTAGGGCCATCTTTAACATACTAGCTGTTGATACATTCTGACGGTTCAAATAATCAAACAATGATCCATTCTCATGGTAGTCTGTTATCAACCATAACTGTGTCCATGTGCCATTATCTGTTATACAAAGAAAATAAAATAAAAAATATAAAAAGAGAGGAATTGGGTTTATAATCTCCACTCGACACAGACTAGGTTATTTTGGGACTTACACGTTGTTCAATTTTATTTCAATAATTCGTTTATTTAGTAGTCGGAGGAAAATGGGGGACCCTGAGAAACCAACGAGGTTGGACAGGCAACCCCCTACTCCTTGTCACGTACAACCGGGGAATCGAAACCACGCCAGTTGACTCAATGACAGACCTTATGATACAGCGCGCACACACTAACCCTTCGGCCATGCAACCCCCTTTTATCAAAGAAAGTCTGATTTATATGACCATATTCTGTAAAACACAATTTCATCAGCGGTCACAGTCTTTCTTAAACTTAAGTTTTACGATTTGTTAGTATGCCTTTTGTAAAGTTCTTTTATGTATCATTCAAAGGACTAGGTTCCTGCGCCATTGACAAGGGGAAACCACACTGAGATATCCCAAGCGACGTCTAGACAATGTAATATTGATATCATTGACTTAGCAACAAACATCTGTTATAAATGAAAATATACGACACTACTAGATCAAAGCTGTCAGTTTATATAAATAATGTGTATTAGTTAGTTAAAAATGTTAGTAATGAGTCAGTAGTCATTAAGTAAGTGTTTTGTCACTATGGTGTTAAAACTTTGACTATTGAATGATATACACCGCTATTGTCCAGGTTTTTGTATTCAATAGTGATGGGTGTTATAAACAGTCACACTTTTACACCAGTAGTGGCATCTTTTAGAGCTATTTACACACCTGCTAATTAATGACAACTGTATAAGCACTTTCTGTACATACATACTACATACAGACTAGAATAATGCTCACTTATATGATTTAACGATAAAAATTATTATTAAATAAAGGCCTAGGTTCATAAGTCAATGATATCAGCTTACCAGTGTGGGTCACCCTTTTTTTTCTGGAGTTACCTACCTTTGTTATCAGCAGCGATGAAACCAAGAATATTTTCATGACGTAACATAACTGTTTGGTAAATCTCTGCTTCCCGGAACCACGACCTTTCTTCGCGAGATGAGAAAATCTTCACAGCAACATTTTCACCTCTCCACTGGCCCCTCCACACTTCCCCGTATCTTCCTTTGCCGATTATCTCACACAGTCGAATCTGTCTAGCGATAGTTCTCTGTACTAAGATCGGCAAACCTGAGAGGGACATAAAAAAATAGTATTAGCCAATGATATCAATGCTAAATTTTGGCAACAAAAAAAAAACTATTATGAGAAAGAAAGAGATAAAAGGGGTTTAACATGCACCAATCGCTTTTTCATACTTTCGATCGCCTACACTGAGCAGTTGTTTTGAGAGGTCGTGTCAGAGATCATATAAGCGGATTTTGACCCTATGACGCCAGCTGACTCAATGACAGACCTTATGATGTAGCTCGAACATTCCCCCCACCCCAACAAACAAGATGTTAAAACTTAAAACATACCTGATCCACTGCCAGAATGTGACATGCTATCATACAGCTCTTTTAATGACGCCGGTTCTCCAGGAACCAGCAGATTTGTCTCAATGCTGTGTTCCTCACTACGATGAAACGATCGTTGAGAATTCCTATAGTGCTGGCACATGAAGAAACCAATAAGCGTAAGAATACACACGAGCCCAATCGGCACAGCTATCACAGCCATTAACTCCACGGCACTCAAACTATCCCTCTCTTTCTTCTTTTCTTCTATAAATAAATAAAAAGAAAATGTGGTTTAACATCTTACTGTGAGAGAGAGAGAATAGACAGGCAACCCTACTAATTGTCAAGTACAAGCGGGGAATCGAAACCACGCCACCTGATTCAATGATAGACCTTCTGATCCAAAGAGCATGCGATAACCATTTGGCCACCCAACCTTCCACGTCTTACTGTTCTGCACTCATTGAGCTAATGAAAACGGGACGATTACTGTTTGATAATGACTAGAGAAGTCTAGTCGAAACGTTGCTTAGTCTTATGACCTGTGTAGTCCACTTCTATTACTAAATGCCATGGAAACAATTGAAGTTTTAGCATATAATGATATTTTGCCACGAACAAAACACTTTTCAAGAAAAAATATATTCGAGATAAAACTGTGTGTTAATGGTCCGAACCCAGGACCTCCTGGTCAGTGAGTCTAAAAAAAACATAATACTTTTAGCATATTACAACATTTTACCACCAACAAAACCAATCTGATAAAAAACACAGATCTTATTTCGTTTTGTTTTTTATAGTTCAAAATTTTGTTTTACTTGTCTTTACTACACTAGGATCTGGAAGAGTTGTTATATAACTGGCGTTCTAGTTGATGTGAGGAATTAAACAATGAAACGGTATGTTATGACAAATTCTTGCCGTGAGATGCACAAAATGTGGTATCCTACCAGAAACATCAACATTGATTGGTTAACCAAATGTCTGACGTCATAGGGTTAAAAGCCAGTACAACTGGTCAGAACTTCATGCAGTAGAGGACATCGAAAGTATAAAAAGACGAAACGAAATATAGATCTGTATTTCAATCAGATTGTAACAAAACCTCTTTAAAGAAAAAATATATTCAAGATAAAAGAAAGCAAATAAAACTATTATTATTATCTGGAGACTGAGTGTCAAAAAATGTATTTTACCCTCGATCTCTTCAGGTGTTTTTTCTACAGGAGCAAGTCCCGGGGTCAGGTCTGCATTACAATAATCTCTATCACTACAACAAATAACGTTAAACGTCGTTTTCTTACTCTCTATAATCTCGCAGAACATCGGACGATGGTTGGGAAAATATTCAGATTTATCCTTACATCTGAAAAAAACAAATTGAAAACTTAAGCATACATTATGGGAGAGCTAAATCTGCCTATTGCAGGTCTTTCTTTAGGCCTGAAATATTATATAAACTATTAATTAGGCATTAATTAACTTATCCATAATCAACTCTTGATGTCATTGCTAGCCTGCAATATTTACTGGATTAGGATCCGATCTGCTGCTCAACGCTCATTTATGATCAAATCAAGAAATGGATAATCGAGACTTATGTTTTTTTAGTAATGATGATCAAGGATAGGCCCAAAATTCAATCGCTAAATTCTCGGTTCAGAGTAGATCAATTTAACTGAAATTTTCAGCAAATTCCTTTTACATTATCTATTTTTTTTAACTATTATAGTGAAAACTGCCAGCTCTTTACGTAATCTCCCATAACTTATCTTTAAATCTAAACTATTTTAAGAATACAGCGGTTTCTGGCCTTCATGTTTGAGGCGTGCTCAATGGGATTTATTCAAGAGAGCGAGTGAGAGAAATGGGGTTTAACGTCCACTTGACACAATTTTATTTCAACAATTTGCCTGGACGGAAACTGGAGGACCCTGGGAAACAGGCCTGAAAATAACGATTTTAGATGTACCTGACAAAATATCAGGCACTAATGAAATAGTACCCGGCATTTTCAACTTAGTGGCGGACAATGCCGGACATGTATTAATATCAATAAAAAAGACAAATCAAAATGACCGGCACCAGAGGTTTGTGTCTGACATTGTCTGTGACAGGTGCCTTATTTCCAGGTTTGCAGAAAAAACCCACGAGGTTGAACAGACGACCCTACTTCTTGTCACGTACAAGCAGGGAATTGAAACCACACCTGGAGATCTAACGTACACGCCCTAATCATTTGGTCACCCAACAACCCCCCTACCATTATTCAAGAGTAGAGCAACAAATATGGACCTTAAACTGTTAGAATTTATAAATTAATACACATATAAAATACACTGATGTTGGTGTACCATTATTCCAAATAATGGTATGGGCAACGTACAAATCGTAAATTATTTATACTAGATGAAATATTGAACTCATGTGACGATTTCATTAAAATGCATGTGCAGGATAGTGTCTGTATCTTAAGTTTTGTAATGACTCGAGCAAGACATTGCATACAGTATAAATATAATGTCTCGCGCTCGACCACCACTTATATTTAACAATTGGTATAACTAAAGGTTGATTAATAACAAAAAATCAGTTTGGCTTGCATGGCTAAGTTATCAAAGCAGTCCAAAAGAATTGTCGCATATTTTTTCTTTTGTTGGTAATAAAGACCTTTAAACACTGTGTATTAAGTTAAAAGCAATTTTCCTCAAAATTTTTCAAAGTGATCAAGGGCCATAACTCCAGAAGAAATCATCGGAAAGCGCTGATAATAGGCCTCTTAGTCTCACAACAGTCTGATATTAACTTTGGCCTCCAGAGCGTCCACAAGAATTTTCACAGTGATCAAGGGTTATAACTCTGGCAGTAATTATCGGAATCTGTTGAAAATCAATAGGCTTCTTCGTGTCATGACCTTAAACACTGTATCAATTTAAAGTCAATCGGGCCAAAATTAAAAAATTGTCTGTTTGCCCAAACGCGACCGACCAAAAAAAAGCTGCTGAGTCAAATTCTTTTATTGCCGTTTTTGAAGATTTTTTTTTTTTTTAACAGCATTATTTTTACGCTTGACAATGACACCCAAACGCGAAATAATCGGTCGGGAGATTGAACAGCCACTGTCATGTCTATACATAGTAACACCAAACTCGACACGTGATTTTGTAAAATCTCGTTATTTATCGCGATAGTTGTTGTTAAGGAACGGTATGTGTCATGGCAGACAATTACTTTACACTGTCGCCTTCGGTAGTGATAAAACCCGAAAATAAAGTAAAACCAATCGTTTCGAACAAGTTGCAGCGATTTAACAACAGTAAGACATGGAGGGACGTCTTTGATGATGTCACTGTTGATGAAATAGACACGAAGACAACGGACAAAATGATTGTGACTGTTTCAACTGTTCTCGTTAGGCCTAATAAAAAAGTTAGAGTTTAAATATTGTTTTGTTTTTGCACTTAGTTCTCAAAGTCTGGTCCTTCCAAAAAAGAAAAAAAGAATTTGCCTACCTACCTACCCATACCTAATCATCATGAGTCGGGTTTGGGCAAACTGAAATATTTTTAACCCTGGCCTCGGATATTAACTTTGGTCTCTACAGCCTGCACGAATTTTAAGTGATCAAGGGCCATAACTCTTGCAGTAATCATCAGTAAATTGTTGAAAATCATCTCATGACTTTAAATACTGTGTATCAATTTAAAGCAAATCGAATATTAACTTTAGTCTCTAGAGCGTCAACAAACAATAGTGGACCCAAGACGTACAGACAGACGGGGGCGACGACAATATACGACCACACATACTTACAATCGTCTAATCCTGAACTCTCCTGCTTCACTTAATGTTGATGAAACTAAACAGACGCCATCTGTTTCACACGTCACGTTGTGATTGGGTTCATCAGCTTGACTACATTCCGTACATTTACACTTTAAACCTGAAAAATACCAAATAATTCTTTAGATCACTAGGTCTGTCATTGCGTCAACAGGCGTGGTTTCGATTCCCTGCTTGGACGTGACAAGGAGTAAGGTCCTCCAGTTTCCTCCCACTGCTAAAGACCCCTACGCCTTGTTATGTAACACCGGGGAATCGAAACCACGCCAGTTGTTATAAATAGAGCTGATCTGATGTGTAAGCTCACAACTCGGACCAAAGACCACTCGGACCAAGGACAACTAAACGACCACTCAGAATATCCAAAAGACTGGTCTGTCTTGGTGCGAGTGGTCTATCCATTGTCAGCGATATCACCTCGATGGAAGCAGACATTAAGTAAAGCTATTTTACACAAGCAAGCAGGATTGAAAATATCAGATTTAGTTAAGACTTGACAAAATTTCTGTCACAAATTAAGTAGTGTATCGGTGCCAGATATTTTCAGCTTTGTAGAGGCCACGTGGCATGTACCTGTAGGCCTACTGTAATAATGATATCAACAATATCATTGTAGTACATGTATCTGTAGACAGTGATATCAATAGTGTCAGTACACAGAACAATTTGTGCTAGAAAAACTGACAAATGATATACATGTATATATGACAGTCAATGTCTACAATCAGGCAATGTGTACATTGCCTGATTGTAGATATTGACTGTAACATATATATTTCCAGGCTTTGATTGAAAAGAGAAATTGGGGCCAGACATATTGTGTGCAATCTGATTAAAACACAGATCCAATTTTGTTTCATTTTTTATAGTTCAAAATTTCATTTTTACTTGTCTTTACTTCACTTGGATCTGGAAGACTTGTTATTTAACTCATGTTCTGCTTGAAATGAGGGGTCAGCCAATCAAATGGTCTGTCGAATCGAGCGTTTGACCTTTTTTGCGCGGAACTGTGGGTAGACATTACCAGCGATAGAAATCAAAACAAAGCAAAAGTAGATATAAAAAATTATAAAAAACGAAACGAAATATAGATCTATATTTTAATCAGATTGTATTTTGTGCATCTTATTCATCATGGCAGAAAATACAAATGGTGAAATAAGAATACATCACGTCAGTCCAGCGACATTTAGGCCTCAATAAAAATACGTCTCGATGTTGATGTTTTGGGCTCAAGTGCATGACAGTTGGGAGTTGTGAAACAGTAGAAAGGAAAAATGATTTTATAAAAATAACACAGAGTTCCGTGCTCATCGGGATTCTTCTGATCAGGTACAGATTGATAATGACTAGAGAAGCCTAGTCGAAACGTCGCTCAGTAATAAGCAGTAATTGTATTCCATAGAATTGTGACCTGTTTATAACATTAGCCATGTATGAAAGGCTATGTGACAGGAACATGAACATATTCTTTTCTTTATTTTACATGGTTGTTGTATCACAAACTGGGTCAGCCTGACCTGTGCAATTTCTCCCATGACATCGGATGTTACCCGTGCACAAAAACGATCTAAAGGCGCTCAAATAACAAGAATAATCGTTTTAAAATGGGGACTAAGCAACGGAACAAAATAAATATCGTTACAAATTCCGAGGAAAGCCATAAAGTATGGTCAAAATACACATTCTTTAACAGGTACCCGAAAATCGGCCATATTGGATTCCTACACCAGTCATAACACTGAAATATTATCCTAGTTTTGAGCATTCGAGGAGTTTATTCGAGATGAAACCGGTTTATAATTACAGTAAAATAGATGGCAATACCTGATGCAACAGATATCCCGATTACAAACACAAAAATTATTGTCTTTAACGGAATCATGTTTGCAGAGAGTCAAATCTTCAATGTTGACACTTCACTGTCTGCGATGGGGACGCTTTACTTCTATAATATAAATGTACACATGCGCACAAAAGTAGTTCATGTCATTTCTTGTCAAAATGAAGACACTATCGAAAGTATGAGTTGCAATCAATTGAAAATAAAAATAAAGAGTTTTATAACGATATGTTACATCATTTATCACTCTAAAAAAAAAAAGCCGAATTATCATGTCTTGTTGAAGAGCGGAAACGTGAGAAGAAGTTGAGTTGAATGAACTGAAGGGAAAGGTCACTGTAGAATGCAATCAGTTTCACAAAAGTAATGCGAAAGCCTTCTTTTAATTCGATAGTCATTCTTTTCCATCCACCACAGCCAGATAGTATGCGCATGTCTCACAATTCACGTATTTACTAGCACTCGGCAAACCTCGGTGGATTCCTGTACCCTACGAGGTTTGCCGAGTGATTTACTAGATCACGTGATCAAAATATTGTCTATCACGTTACACTGCGAATTTAGTCGTTTTATGATTATTTATATTCGTAAAAAGAAACGATGGGGAATTATCACTTAGGCATAAGACAGATGAATGATGGTCCATGATCAACTGATAAGTTCAGACAAACTATTATAATTATGAATTATAACTAGAACTGCGATGCGGCAGTGATGACGGTTTCACCGGTAGGCTACTATGGAAGACCAAATGGGACATTATTCATGATTCTTGTTTCTACATTCCAGTTTGAACATTTTAGACAGGAACGCAACATTCTAAACTAATGATTCTTGTTTATACATTCTTATGTCAACATTTCATGCACAAAATCAACATTTTAAACAAAAAATTGACTCTATGTTTCATTTTCGGCGTTTTATCGGTAACTTTTATATATCATTAAATATTAAAATTAAAAAATAATTTCTTAATTTTACACGAAAAAGAAATCAATTCATTGGTTTCTGAAAGAATCTAAATCTGGAAATTAAACTCTTATGAAAATATTTTCTACGTTTCAAAAAGTCTTGAAGTTAAAATCTTGAAATGAAAATGTCCAGAAAAATATAAAAAATATAATGAATTATCAACATTTCACCAAAGGGCGTTAGCATATGTGTACAACTTTGATACGAATTATAGATTTATCAACCATTTTTGCCACATTCGAAACACGCGTAGAGCTAATTTGCAAACACTATCCTATAGTTATAGTTAATATGAAAAAGTAAACAAATAACAGTGAATAGATTCCATTTAAAACACAGCATTATCATCCATTGCCATATTCGAAACACGTGTAGGTCTAATTTGTAAACATATGAAAAAGTAAACAACTAACAGCGAATATGTAAGAAAGGCCTTTGTCCTACCCTAGCTTAAAGTAGCTAAGTCTCGAACTCAATATCATCCAAAATCATCAACATTGAAAACACAAATTATTTGTCAATTTAAATCAACATTGATGTTGTGATCTTACCGGGAAGAGATGGGCTTCTGATATCCAATATTTAAGACAAAATAAACATTTTACCATTGGTACACAAATCGTGTACCATAATGCGTTTCAGCGTCATTTGTAATAAGGGACTTGAAAAACGAGGCTAGGCATATTCCACATGTCAAGTCAAACGGTGACGCCATATTCTTATCTGGAGAGCATGTGCAATAACTACTATCGGTGTAGACTGAAATAACCAGGCACTAGAGAGGGCCATCCAATTGAGACTTCTGGCGTATTTCGCCGAACATAAATGATTAGAAATTACAGTGAAAACAGAAAAGATTGAATGTAAATCAGTTTATATACATTCATATTACATTATTATATGCGTTGGACCAATTTGTGTCAATTTCTAGGTTCCAAATATTAGCGATTTAGCCCCTTTAATTTCTGTTTCATGCAACTAATTACTGTAAACACAACAGGGGCCCACTTCCACTCTGGAAAAGTCTACTTTTGATTTCTAATCTATAGTCTGTTTCAAAGTTGTACACATACGCTAACGCCCTCTGGTGTAATAATGTTGATAATTCATTATATTTTTCTGGACATTTTCATTTCAAGATTTTAACTTCAAGACTTTTTGAAACGTAGAAAATATTTTCATAAGAGTTCAAATTCATGATTTTTTTTAGATACTTTCAGAAACCAATGAATTGATTTCTTTGTCGTGTAAAATTAAGAAATTATTTTTTAATTTTAATATTTAATATTTAATGATATATAAAAGTTACCGATAAAACGCTGAAAATGAAACATAAAGTCAATCTTTTGTTTAAAATGTTGATTTTGTGCATGAAATGTTGACATAAGAATGTAGAAACAAGAAGCATTAGTTTAGAGTGTTGCGTTTTCCCATTTGGTCTTCCATAGGCTACCACGTTCTTTTCGGGGCAATCGGCAAACCTCGGCAGAATCCGGTTCCCTACATCTAGATGTGGGGTGCTGGAATCTGTTGAGGTTTGCCGAGTGCTACTCGGGGGTTAGTTGGCCGAATGGTTAACCCGTGTACGTTGTATCATACGGTCTTTCATTGAGTCAGCTGGTGTTTCGATTGTCCGGTTGTACGTGACAGGGGGTAGGGTAGCCTGTCCAACCTCGTGGGTTTTCACCGGGTTCTCCCACTGCTAAAGACCCATCCGCGCAAGCGAATTTATTGAAGTAAAATTGAACCATATCTTAGTCCCGAAATGACCACACCCTCTCTCTCTCTCTCTCTCTCTCTCTCTCTCTCTCTCACTCACTCCACATTACTCTTGAATTGACGTACGTCACTACCCAAAACAATGAAAACGTTAAACAGATTTCCACATTGCATTGCACTCATGTTTTAAAATGGACACAGAATTAGCCAATAAATCCAGCAATATCGCAGTTCCGCATTTATACATTTATACAATGAAGTCTCGACACGATGACAGTAATAACCACTTCGGTTGTCCTTTGTATGACTGAAAATTAATTAAAAGTTTAACAGAATGAACCCTTTATAGAGCCTTATTAAAATGCGAAAAACCGTAAAAAGTGATACTGACAAAATCGGTTATTTCTCGGCAAGGGAAGACGTTAGAAACTCTTTTTTCATATCTATATGATCGTATTCATACTATTTCTCCACTGGAATCAAATATCATAATTTTATACGAATAATGAATATCACTTCCTTCAAACAAATAGTTTTTTTGGTGGCTAAAAATAAAGTTTTTGCCAAAATGATATTACTTCCGGTGATAATGAAAATGCTAAATTAGTTTTATCAAATCATAAATGGCATTGGGCATAACATGGTGAAAATTGTATGATAATCGAATCATAACTGACACTTTTATTAACCCAAAACCTTGAAAAATGACGTAGAAAATTGTCTATTTCTTCGTAACTGAACAAGTCAGAAACTATTTTGTGGTATGTTTATGGCCGCATGGGTTTATTCTATTTGTTGATTGGAATCAAATATCATAATGTTAAACACATAACAAATACGACTACTTTGTATAAATATTTGTATTGAAGTCAAAAAATACACTTTATTCCAAAATGACGCCATTTCCTGTGACAGTGAAATGTGAAATTGGTTCGAACTAGTCAAATGTGGCATTAGGCATCCAAAGGCGAAGAAAAATTGAAAATCGGATTAAAATTGACTCTTTTTTACAGGCAAAATAACGTGGAAAGTGACTCATGCAAAATTGACTATTTCTCAGCAACTGCTTGTATTACAAACTAATTTTGACATAGATTGTCTTCGTATATATTAATGATACAATTTATGAAAGTTAAACATGCATTATGCAAGAGCAAAATCTGCTTATTACAAGTCTTTCTTTAGGCCTGAAATGTTATCTAAATTATCAATTAGACATTAATTAACTTATCCAGACAATAATAAACTCTCGATGTCAAGGCTAGCCTTCGATGTTGGCTGGATTAGATTCCTATATGCCGCTAACGGCTATTGATAATTAAATCAATAAAAGTGGATAATCGAGACTATGCTTTTTATATTAATGATTTTAGTAATGATGACCGAGACTATGCAAAAATTTCACCCGCTTCTTTCTAGGCTCATAGTGGATCAATTTGACTGAAATTTTCAGCAAATTACCTTTACACTATCTAGTTTTCAACTATTATAGCGAGAACTGCCATCTCTTTATCTTATCTCCCATAATGTATCTTTAAGAAGAAATATTTTAAATTACGAAAAGACTGAATTGCATTGTAAATACTTGTAGCTCATTTTTACAACTTTTTTTCACCTTAAAATCAAAATGGCTCAAATACAAAACCGAAATTAATAACACCGAGCAAGACATTTTGCGCCTTTAGTAGGAGCATTCATCTTGATTGATGGACCCTCGGAGATATGCCGTAAAAAGTTATGACCGTTTAGGCCGCTACAAGAAAGCCGCAATCTGCTATGTAATATATGGTTCTTTCTTTGCCTTGTAAAAATGAATTTGGAATAGTGAGATCGTTTTCTTTCAATTTTTGTTTGAAGGTAGTAAGAGACGGAGAAGTTCTTATATTGATATCAAGTTTGTTCCATGCTTTTGTTGATCCACATTGGTATTCTGAAAGATTTTAATTGTTTTTAGATGATAATTGTCTGTATAAAATGATGTCTTTTAGGTATCCGGGTGGCAGATCATGAATAACTTTAAAAATAAGTGTCAATTTGTTTCGTTTGCGTCTTTCTTGTAGCGTTATAAACCCGGTTTCGTTGTATATGGGTTTATGGCTGGTACCCATACAGCCCAACATATAGTTCTAAGTGCATGTAATTGTAAGTTTTGTAGTTTGTTAGTATTGTAAATTAGTAGGAATTCGACCAAATCTAAGGGATAGAAGAGTAGGTTTTTTTATTGGTTAGTGCCAGTGTTTCGGTTTTGAGGGTGTTAAAAGATACCAGTCATGTTTTAGCCCATCTATAAGTTTGTCCAGGTCATTATTGATGGTATCGGCATCAGCAGCTCGATCATGGATTTTGAGATATAGAGTAGTATCGTCAACAAATAATCGAATGTTTAAGCTTATGTTACATATATATGATATC